ACCCAAAGGTTCTTGATTTTCTCACTGATGAAATTGGAAGAAGTTTTGTTGGACAAGAGTAGACCAACCCGGGGCTCTGGGTTGAACGTTTCCAGGCTGGCATTTCTCCCCTTGCAGGACAATCAATCCTTCTAGTCTGATATCAGCCCTGCCCTGCTCTGGAGGGTAATTGTGAACATTTGGGTGCGATCCCAATTCCACGGAACTGGTTGATCATTTGCTTTTTGGGCAATCGTGTGCAAAGGTCTGGTGCCCCTTCAGCGAGGTGGCACCCTGGCAACTGACAGTCAAAAAAGAAGATCAGCCAAGAGAGGGCAGGAAAAGATCCAAGAAGCGGGCAATGACCTCGGGCGCGGTGATGCTTCACCCAGCTGGCCCTCACTCCAACCCTTCAGCTGGTCAAGGGGAACAGGTGGCACTTCGGATCGGTGCTTCGGCCAGGGAGGAAAATCAAGAATCAGCGTTTCTCCTCCAGGTTTGGGAAGAGGGTGACTTGAGTGCATGGGAGAAGGCATGGGCTCCTCGAAGGTCAGGGCATCAGCCCTTCAAGGCAGACCAGACTGGGAAACCAAAGTTATGAATGCTAATGCGACTTTTCTTATAAGGTTGCAGTAACAGAATCCTGCATGTCAGAAAGTGCCTCCCTCCCTTTCTCTTTCCCATTTCCCGTTGTGTTCGTTTTCCAGAACAATTTTTTCCATTGCCATCTCTGGTCTTCTGATTTTCAGTTTTTTGTCAGACACCTTCACAGCATCCTCTGCATTTCCTATTCGTTTTCCCACGGCCTGAAGCCTCGGTCTGTCTGTTTCCCTCTTGGATATTGGACCGCAAATATTCCAATGTCCATCACAGACGCTAAAGTCTCCTCCCCACATTTCTTTCTCCTGTTGAATGCCAGTGGCCGGCTACTGGAACAGGGAGAAGGAATACCTTGAGGAATGGGAGGAAGAGCCGCTCCCAAGACAATGGTCAGATAAAAGGAACCTGAGTCCTGGGCTGGCGCATTCAGACTTGCAAGATTGATGTCAGCCCTTTGAGGTAGACCCGACTAGGCTAGTACTACTTTTATTATAAGGTTACAGTGACAGAATCTTGCATGTCTGAATGTGCTTCCCCCGCCTTCCTTTATCTTCACGAGAACAAGGGAGGGTCTTGTCTGAGGCGCTTTTTCAGGTTACGGTTCTGGCCCAGACTCAGGTTTCTTTTATCTGACCATTGTCTTGGTTGAGGCTCTTCCTCCTGTTCCTCAAGGCGATTCCTTCTACCCATTATACCAAGATTGGGAGGGAGTGTGAAGATCATCTAGACCAACCCACTGCTGTCTACTGCCTCTAGCAGAACCACCAGAACAGCATCCAGACAGGTGCCCCCCCCAGCCTCCATTTACACCCCTCGAGTAGAGGATTGCCCACCACCTGATGAATTCCTCTTCCTCTTAGGAGCCTCCTCCTGATGTTCCACTGGAATCTGCTTCCTTGTAACTGAGCTTCATCTTAGAATACCAGGGTAGGAAGGGAGCTTAAAGGTGATCTAGTTTAACTCCCTACTCAGGGCTGGAAACGACTACACAGAATCATAGAAAGTCAGCAGTGAAGGGACCTTGGAGATCCCCTACTCAGCCCCTCCCCACCTCCACTACTTCACCATCCTTGGTGGATAGCCATCCAGCCTCCAACCAAAATCAGCCTCCTTGTAATATAAACCCCCGTGTTTCTTGTCCTGGCTTCTGGAAGACCCCTAAACCACTACCTCATCTATCTATCTATCTATCTATCTATCTATCTATCTATCTATCTATCTATCTATCCATCCATCCATCCATCCATCCATCCATCCATCCATTCATTCATTCATTCATTCAATTTATATGGCCACCCATGTCACAAGTCACCTCAACAATTCCTTGCAATGTAACCCCCTTGTTTCTTGTCCTGGCTTCTGGAAGACCCCTAAACCACTACCTCATCTATCAATTTATATGGCCACCCATGTCACAAGTCACCTCAACAATTCCTTGCAATGTAACCCCCTTGTTTCTTGTCCTGGCTTCTGGAAGACCCCTAAACCACTACCTCATCTATCAATTTATATGGCCACCCATGTCACAAGTCACCTCAACAATTCCTTGCAATGTAACCCCCTTGTTTCTTGTCCTGGCTTCTGGAAGACCCCTAAACCACTACCTCATCTATCAATTTATATGGCCACCCATGTCACAAGTCACCTCAACAATTCCTTGCAATGTAACCCCCTTGTTTCTTGTCCTGGCTTCTGGAAGACCCCTGAACCACTACCCCATCTTATTCACTCATTCATTCATTCATTCATTCATTCATTCATTCATTCATTCATTCA